CGGCCTCTGGCCCGAGAGCCCTGCCCCGCCCGCCCCTACCTGTTGGGGTCGGCAGCCTGGAGCCCGTTCTCATTGGTCACGATGACCTTGTAGCAGCGCTCGCCGCCGGGGTTGGCCTTCCTCCTGCCCTCCTCTCGAGCGGCCTCCTCCTCGCCCTCCTCCTCCTCCACCTCCTCCACTTGCATGATCCCAAACATGTCTCCTGCGTCGAACACCTGTGGGCCACAGCGGGGGGTGTTGGCAGGGTACCCCAACCCCGAACCCCGACCGCAGCCCAGACTTTTGCTTCTGGGCTCCAGGTCAAACAAAACCCTCAGGAGAGGCAGGACCTATTTACTGCCCATCTACCCATTTCGAGGGTGGGGAAACTGAGGCTCCTAGACAGACCAGTCAGAACTGGGACCCAACCTGCCCCTCAGGGCCCATGCTGAGAAGGGGGCCTGCCAACGTGTCTGAATTACGTCCACTCTGGCCCCTTGCTTACGGGGAAACGAGGCCTACGAGGCAGAGGGGGCGGCTCTGGTCACACTGGAAGTAATGGGACTCAGCATGTCGGGGGCCAGGGACCTCACCCCAATTTCGCTCTCCTGAGGAGCCAGGCCAACACCAGGGCAGCTGAGGCGGCAGCCCAGAGGGAGAGAGGTGACCGAGCGTCTGCTGTGGCCGCCAAGTAGCAGCCCGGGCCTGCAGGAAGCATGGCCTGGGGGCTTGGGGCTGGTTCCCCGAGGTCCCCAGTCAGCATGGGACAGGAAGGGCCCGGGGGCTTGACTTTGCCCGGGAAAGGACCACTGCCAGCCCCGTGCAGCTGGTGAGGACAAGTTAGCTGCTTCGGGTGCCCCGGAGCCAGGCTCTGGGACCCTGAATGAGTCACCGAACCACACTGTGCCTCCGTTTCCCCATGCACACAACCAGCATAGTAGGACGACCTCGGAGAGTGGCTGGGAGGGTTAATGATGAACATCAACAGCTAGAACCACCCAAGCCCTGCGAATGCTCAGGCACTTTCAGGGTTCTCCTTTAACCTTGCAGAGCTGGGCAGGCCACGATGGGACCCTCCAGCGTAGAGATGAGAAAAGCAGCTCACAGGGCTGGCGTTTATACCCTGGGCTTCAAACCAGAGCCCCAAACCCCCGGCCGTCACCCCCAAACCTGACGGGAGGGAGGGAGCTGGGAGGGTGCAGCGTGAGGCCTGGGGGGTAGCGGGCCTGCCTGGGTCTGGCTCCTCCCCAGCTGTGGAGGGGGGGGCACCACAGTCCCTTCCTGGTGCGCACAGACAGGGGAGGGGCTGAAACCGACGCTAGAGCACTTCCCGTCTTTCCAAGGGAAACTTTCTTTCGAGGCGAGGCAGCAGCACCCTTATCTGCCTTTGCCAGGGGACCAAAGGCACCCCGCGCCGCGGGCAGGTGCCCAGGCTGCTGGCGTGTGCCCTCCCTCACACCTGGGTGCGCAGCGGCAGCAGGTTCCCTCTTGGAACGGCTGCAGGGTGGGTCAGGCAGAGGGGTGACTCACAGCTCTGCCCATAACTCAGAGTGGCCAAGGAGGGCCATGGAAAAACACCAGGTGGCGCAAGCGCAGACGGGCCAGAAGGGCACCAGTCTGGGCACTGCCCACTGTGTCTCCTCCCTGCCAAGACAGTCCCGCTTTCTAGATAGAGACTCCGCCAGGTGAGTGACTCGCCCAAGTGAGGGTTTGCTGCTGGCAGGGCTGCAGCTGGGTGCTCCCACACGGCGCTGTTCGCCCAGCATGCGCGGGGACCTTTTATCCCCACTAACAAGCAGCTGGGGTCCCCTCCTGCCCAGCACAGGGCTCAGGAAATGCGGGCAGAATAAGTCACTGGGGGCGGTTAGGAAATTCACTGTTACAAAAGATAGGTATGTACTGCCTGCCCCTGACGTTGTGTCTTTTTTTTATAGCAACTACCCCTTTGAGCAGGAAAGGACCTGGATGGACTCCTGATTTACAGATGGAGAAACTAACTGAGCCTTGTCCAGGCTCAGGGGACACCCTTTTCCTGGCCCCGAGTTCCCCCTCATCGCACGCACCACCGTTCCGTCTGGAGGGAGCCCAGCAGGCAGCCTGGCTCCAGCAGAGAGGCGCCCACGGGCTGCTGGCACCTGAGCAGACTGCCCCCAGCCAGGACCCATGGGAGCCCCTGTGGGGGTCCAGGCTAGAGCAGCCGGTGAACAGCATGGAGCTTCCCACAAAAGGGGAGACGGCCCACAAGCAGCTAAGACCTTCTCATTTTTCTTCAGACTCGTGCTCTATCTCCCACAGACCATCTCCTTTCACTTGCAAAAGGAAGGTGACTCCTCCAGTCAAGGGAGGGGACTTGAGCGGATTTTATGACCCAAACAGTTAAAGCCACACAAATTCATGGGGCTCCTGTCCTCCCAGAGGGAGGCAGTGGCTGAGAGCGTCCAGATCTGAAGCCTGCCAGACCTCGGGGGTTGCTTCCTCTTCCCAGGACTCAGTTTTCACAACTGTGCAATGGGGAGGGGGTGCAGGGAGGCTCGGAAGTGGGGAAATCAGCTCAGGGCTTGGCGCACAAACAGGAGCCGAAGTTCATTTTGGTTCCAGGTTCCCTCTAAGCCCTGGTCCAGCCCCAGACGCTGGCAGGACCGGGGCCACAGGTCCAGGGCCCTGGCAGCCACTCTTCGGCCCCACTTTTAGGAGACTCCCAAACTGCCAGGGAGGCAAAATGTAAGTTGGTCATCACGGCATCTGGCTCTTCTTCATCATACCCTTGCCTGCTTCTCTGGCCTCGTCTGTCCACGCCATCCCCAACTCCCCGAGAACATACCCCCGAGCGTCTGTCTCACCGAGGCCTGCCCAGGCGGGGACAGGCTCCCTGCAACGCGCTGGAGTACAGCACGTGTCCTCCAGGAGGCCCCCCTGCCTTCCCCAAGCGGTCCCAGCCGGGCTTTCCAACCCGCAAACCCCAGCGATTCCCGCCCAAGGGCCAGCCCGCAGACCACACCCTTCCGAGTAGAAGGGTCCGGAGCAGTGCTCCTCCGGCGCGCCCAGGGCCCGCTCTGAACCCCAGTGCGCCCAGCCAGGCGCCTCGACCTCCCCGCGCCGCCCCGGCCCGCACCTCGTGCTCCAGCTTGTGCAGGAGGCGGCCCCAGTACCGCTCGGGGACCCCAGACGCGCGCAGCGCTGGGCCGTGCAGCGCCACGAACTCGGCCAGGGCCCGCGCGCCCTCCTCGGGGCCCGGGCCCCGCTCCGAGTTCGGCGCCGCGTCCGCCTCCATGGCGCCTCCACCAGCGCCAAGCGCAGCGTCGCCACAGCACGAGGGGGCAGCCCTCCCGACTCGGCCCGCCCGCCCGCGCCGTCGCCGCCCCGCCCTCCTCCTGAGCTCCCCGCGGCCCCGCCCACCGCCGGCCGCACGCAGCCAGCCGCCGGGGCGCGAAGCTCGAGGGGCGGGACCTGGGGACCCCGGGAGTCCCGCCGTCGGCGGGGCGCGTGCGCGAGTGCGCGGGCGTGGTGGCGCGAGCCTGCGCCCCCGCTCCCGGCTCGGCGCTGCCGCCATGTGCGCACGCGCGGCCGGCGGGGGCGGTGCCTTTTCCCTCCGGCGCCTGCCTCGCAGGATGCCGGGAGCCGGGCTTTCCAGCGGTGGGAGCCGGAAGAGGCTCCAGGGACGGCCCAGGAAGGGGCCGCGCAGGCCCGCGGGCCGTGGCGTTCGGCCCCGCGCGCCGAGCGAAGCGCTTGCGGGGCCCCGGAGGCGGCAGCGGGGCTCCCCGAGCCCGGAATGTTTTACCGCAGTTGGGTCCTGCAGAGTAGCGGGCCGCTTCCCTTTCCTTACGTTTGGGTTCGGAGTGTCAAGTTACGCAACTAAAACCGAGAGGTTTTTCGTACAAGTCGAGGCGTTGGAAAGGTAGTTCAAGGTGTAATTGCGGAATTCAAACATCGTTCTTGGGACATTCTAATTTTTCAGGTTCTTCTACTGCTTCTGTGTGGGTTCGGAGAGAGGCACCCCCAGATGCGACTCGGGGACATGGGGGCGGATTGCTTGGGATCCCTGCCCAGGGCAGGGCAGGGCGGCATGAGACCAGGGGAAAGAACCGCGGGGGTCACGTTTTTCCCGCCCGCACACGTCCACAGCCACGGGGTCGCTGGCTTCCTGGGCGCAACTTTGCAGTAATTGTATTTTGCTAAAAGGCTCAAAGGCTGAAGTGATTTGTTTGTTTTTTGTTTTTGGCGCTTCAGTTGCTGACTATGTTAATTAAAAGTTTTAAACGGAATTTGAACAAAATGTGTCTGTTTAAGAGGGTTTGTGCAGTGCGGCTGGGACACTGAAGAAGTCGGTCTGTAAAGGCTAAGACTTCCAAACTCCAGATGGGGGGGGTGCGGCGCTGGGAAAAACATGTTACTGCTGTGGGGAAGGTTGTTTTTGTTTTGTTTTGTTTTGAAATTGTATCTAACATTGCTTTGTAACAAAAATGTTGGAAAATAAAATAAATAAAAATCTTTAAAAAATACTTATAAAATTTTGACAACTGTGATTTTTTTTTAAAGATTTTATTTCACTTGTTCTTAGAGGGGAAGGGAGGGAGAAAGAGAGGTAGAGAAACATCATTGTGTGGTTGCCCTTCACATGCCCCCAACTAAGGTCCTGGCCTGCAACCCAGGCATGTGCCTTGACTGGGAATCGAACCAGCAACCCTTTGGTTTGCAGAGTCACACTCAGTCCACTGAGCCACACCAGCCAGGGCTGCTTACTTGTTTTTAGAGAGAGGGGAAGGGTGGGAGAAAGGGAGAGAAACACCGGTGTGTGAAACAGGTTGCCTCTCACAAGGCCTCCAGCCGGGGACCTGGCCTGCAGCCCGCTGAGCGAGGATGCAGCCAGGGGTGGGGGAGTGGGGAGGGTTTCTGACAAGAGTTTTGTCTTCTCTGATTTCGGGTGCCTTTTGTCCCTGAGTCCCGCCCTTTCATGACCTCTGATGAATAAGAGAAAGGAGCAATCCGGAAGTTCATCTTCTGTTTATTACTGGAGTGATTCTCACACACGTTTAATCACATGCATAGGTATGAACATAATGGAGAAAACAAAACTTTGGATATTCAAGGCAACTAAAAGGAAAACGTGGTCACATTGGCGCCTGTCACTCTGTAGGCAGTGACTGCCAAGGCGCCAGGACAGCAGGCCGGCAGCCGCCCCAGGAGCCCGGGGCAAGGCCTCAGGCACTGGGGCTCCACTCTCCGGCCCCTGCCCCACGGTGGCAGGTGCCCTGCACCAGACCAGTAGGGGCCGAGCCCGCTCAGGCCGCTCTAGGTTCTGACCTCAGCGGAGGCAGAAGTCTCCCAGAGCTCTGTGTGGCCTCTGGACTGAACATCAAAATACTTGGCATCAGCCAGCTTTCCCTGACGCCTGCTCTTCACCACACTGTCGGTGGAGGGACCCGCACCCTCTACGGAGCATGCCCTGGGGCCTGTGAGAGGGCAAGTCGGGGAGGGGGCGCGGGGCCAGGGCTCCGCAGGGCCCAGCTCGCCCCTTGAGCTCAGGTTGGAATGGAAGTGACCGTCCCCCCAGGGGAAGGGAAAGGCCCCTCTTTCTCAAAGGGAGGCACTGGTACTGAGTCCCCACTCCCACCCCTCCTCCCTCTGTCCCCTCTCTGCCCTGTGTATCCCTGCCCCCACACGACCGACCGCCAGGGTGGGCCGGCCTGTAGCGTTCAGTGTCAACATTTCAGACAGAGAGGTTTCCTCCTTTCGGGTCAGCTGGCCTTCGTGTGTGTTCTCAGCTCCGTGAGTTACTGCTCTCCTCGGGCAGGCCCCTTGGTCACCCGCAGTCTCCAACTCCACACCTGAAGCTCCAGTCCAGTGCACCTGCCTTGCAGGGACAGGGGCCTCGTGAGTGCACATGGTAAAGCGTTCGGCCCAGAGCCAGCCAGGCGAGGGTGTGGGGGGACCTCTGGCCCTTCCTGCCGACACTTGGGGTCTACAGAGAATTTCGTAGAGTGTGTTTAGGCTCTGGGGAGGCCCCAAGGAAACAGAGGGTCCCATTCTTGGGGGGCCGTCTGTGCTGTGCGGGGTGCCAGGAGGGAATCTGGGGCCACGGCCATGTTGTCTGGGTCCTGGGGTCGGGGGTGAGCGCCCTTGCTGGCGCCCTCTCCAACAAGTAAGGCAGGTCGGGTGAGGCTGACTCTAGCTTGTGTGGCCCCGCATCGGGCACACAGTAGGTGCCTAGGACTTCAGCTTACTCCTGGAGGGGCTGGCAGTCTGGGGGGGCTGCAGAGGCCGCGGTGGGAGAGCCGGAGCTATTCACCATCTCCAGAGCGTCGCGTCCTCCCGCCTTTGGCCTGGACGGCGTGGGCGCTGCGCTGTTGCCCTGGTCAGGAGGGTTGGGCTGCCGCCATGGCTGTTTTTGGTGAACACGAAGATGCGGTTGACTAGGCTGACGCGCTTCCAGGCACGGAGTGGGGAGGTCAAAAAGAACTGGGGTTCCCGGGCAGCAAGAGCGGGGCTCCCTTCTGGAGGGCAGGCCCCGGTGGCAGGCGCTGCACGGGGCAGAGACTGCGTCCTGAGCTGGGGGCTGGGCTCCCAGGCTGGCGGCTGTGGCCTGTGCACACCGTTCTCCGCCCAAGGTGGAGCGTGGCTGCAGCTTCTCCCACGACGTCCTTCTTGACATGCAGACCTGTGTCCTCAGCTCTGCTCTGCCTGTCCGCACACACCCTCCATCCCCACTGAGGGTCCTGGGTGGTGCTGGCGAGGGGGGGGCGGGGGTGTCTTCTCCTGAGGAGACTGCTGGGCTCGGCCGTGCCCGCCCCCCCGCTTCATCTGTGGCCACGGGGGCTTCCCAGGGGATCCTGTTGGCCCGGCCCTGGTCTCCCTCCTTTTCTGGGGGCCTAGCACGCAGTAGGTACTCAGCAAACGTTTGCTAATTCACCCAACTTAGTTCAGTTAGGGCCCGAGGCCGACGTGGGGGGTGTAGGGGGGACGGGGTCACTTCTCGTGGCCCGCGGGCCCTGCTCAGAGCGCCTCCTGCTGGCGGACGTGATTCCGCACTAGGGGCAGAGCCAGCCGTGGCCCCCGCCGTCAGTCCTGGCCGAGTGGGCGGGCTTTGGCTTCCAGAAGCTCGTTCCTTAGCTCCTTTCCTTGGAGTTCACGGACTAGCCAGCCACCGAAGTCCGTGCCAGGCGAAGGGCAGACCCTGGCTGGGCTGGGGCTGCGGCTGCTCAAGACCAGTGACCGTCAGGAGTGGGCTGTGCCCCTCCTGGCCCAGCCCCTCCACGCTGGCGTCTCCTTTGGGCAGCGGGGCTCGTCTGCACCTCGGTCCTCGGCTTCCGTCCTTCTCGGGGCTCATCGCGGGACCCGCCCCACCTCGGTCCAGTCCCTTCCTGCATTCCTTAATTCTCTCCACCTCCCCCTGCAGCCGGGGGGACGGCCACCTCGTGTCAGCCCAGCTGCCACCGGCTCCCACAGCGTGGAGACGTGTAACAGTGGGGCTCGTGGCCCAGGGAGGGCCCCAGGACCGCTGGGCCCCGAGGACTGGGGACAGCGACATGGAGATTCAGGCCGGACCCCGCCGCCAGAGTTTGAGCGCCCCCGATGGTGCGGGAGGTGCGTCACTGGGGAGGGCGGGCGGGCTGGTGACTGTGTGGGGTGAGGGCTGCCTGGTCCTCATGAAGGGGCGAGGGCCCCACGCCCGAGTCAGCCCTGCCCTGCCCTGCCAGGGTCACTGGGCGGGCAGGGCCTGACGAGGGTGGTGGGGCGGCTGGACTCCCGCCGACAGGGCTGGCAGGATGGTGGGCATGTGGGGGGCGTGTGCCAGACATGCCCTGCAGGGGCAGCAGAAAGAGACAGAGGGGTGAGGGGTCTTTCTGGTCCTCTCTGTTTTTGGGGGGACGATTGAAGGAAAAAACCCTCCCCGGGCCCCCCTGGAGCTGTTGCTAGGGGCTCATGCTGGGGGAGCCTGATTTGGGGGATGCCCAGGGGCTCGGCCCGGGAGGACAGCACTCTGCCTGGGAACCAGGGCTGGCTTTCCAGGACTGTGACCAGGGAAGGGCGGTGTGGCCCCGTGGGGCTCCTCGGCTGGCCCTCACCTGCCCCCCAGGTGCTGCCCCTCCCCCCCTGAGCTGGGTTTGGCGGACAAGGTGCTGGTGGCAGTCGGGCGGGGGACTTGACCTTGCCGAGACGAGCGATGGCAGTGGGTGGCCCCGGAGCCCCAGGCCGCTGAGTGGGCCGCTCCACTCCCCACGGCCTGCCTCGCCCCTGAGCCCCGAGTCCCCGGATGCCTAGCCGGCCTGCCGTCGTCACCGCCCTCGGGGCCACGGACGCTTCTCCCACTGGACTCACGGCCAGCTGCTCAGCTGGCTCTGGGCGGGGGTGCTGGGGGAGGGAGCGGCCTGAGGGCTGGGGTTCATTTTCGGATTCTCCCACTTTCCCTGGAGCTCTGGATACCTGTGAACCCTAAACGACGGACCACGTCCCACGCCCGCCCTGCCCCTGGAGGCCCATCGTCTGGGCAGGCCGGCCTCGGCGCGTTGGGGCTGGAGCAGCACTGCCCCGGGCACTGGCCTCCTGGCGGAGTGGGGCTCCAGGCAACTCGGTCCAGTCCCAGACTTTCCTTTTTCAAAGACAGGCTCCGAGAGGGGAGCAGCCTGCCTGGGAGCTGGCACCCCAGTCCCCGGGGCCGCCTGGGCCTGGGGCTGCCGCCCGCCTGCTTGAGTCCGAGCGAGGCCCCTGGGGTCCCACAGCCTGTGCGTGCAGTGCAGGGAACGGCCCTGCTTCTGGTGCCCCCAGGGCACAGCCTGGGCCCCAAAGTCATGGCCTTAAGGTCAGACACAGGTCCCTCATGAAGCCGACCACTGTGTCCCTGCACCCTCAGAGAGGGGTTCGGGGGCACCTGCCTTCTACCACGTTCCGTCTGAGGGCAGCGCCCTGGAGCCCCGTCCCCGAGGGACCCGTCTTCCGAAGTGTGTCCACAGCCGGCCCGCCTTGTCCCCGGGCCCTCGGGCTCCGGGCCGCACACAAACAGGGGTGGCCGGCGTCTGGGGAGGCCGTTTAATCAGCTGGCGAAGCCGGCAAAAGCTGGGGTGCCCCCTGGCTGCCGGGGGCCAGGCGGGGTTGCAACATTTACAGTTACTGAAGAGACTTCCCCTCGAGTACCCACAGATAGAAGTATATATATATTTATATTTATACATATAATACTTAATTAGACCTCTATCCAGGGAAAGCACAAGTCTACACTTCCTCCCCGGCAGCTCTTCTCTGCGCCCTCTCGGCGTCCTTGGAGCCCGGCCCCGCGTCCCGGGCCCTGGGTGTGGACGCCCCTGCGGCAGCAGCTGCACCCCGCTTATCAAAGCCCTCCAGACGCCCCCGCACGCCCTCCTCCGTGAGGCCTGGCTTCTCGTCTCCGTCTCTGACCAGGCCTCCTCAGGCCTCCGAGAGCCTCCGGGGAGGGTCTGTCACCGGACGGGGACCTGCGGGCCTCCAACGCGCCCCCCAGGACCCGCCCTCGTGGCGGTGCCGTGTCCTGCCAGGAGAGGGCGCTCGCGGGGGCCTGGAAACCAGCAGGCAGAGGGAAGGAGAAAGGCGGCCTTAACAAGTGTTTTCCTGCGGGGCAGCGGTGGGAGGCGTGGGCGTGGGCGTGGGCGGGTGGGCTGGGGTCTCTGCCTGGGCGGGGTTCCGCCCTCGCCGACGGGTGGGCCTTCCTGAAGGGCCGCCTCCGCGGTGACTCCCCAAGGCGACGGGAGTGCGGCCCGTGGAGCGGCGTCTGAGCTGCTGCTGCGGAGGGCAGGCTCCCTCCTCGCCCCTCCCCCGCGGGACGCGGGCGTCCCGAGCCGGCGCCGCGGCGGCGTTATTTGTAAGGCCGCAGGAACCGCGACACTTTGGAGCGCAGCAGTTTGATGAAGGACCGCGGGAACATCTCCTTGGACTCCTGGGCTGTGTACTTGAAGTAGTTCTGGGGGTGCGCCAGCACGTCGAAGAGGGCCTTGATCAGCTTCTTGTCCTGAAAGACACGGCCGGCCGGCTGAGGTCGGTGCGGCGGCCGGGGCCCTGCCCCTGCCTCTCCGCTGCGGGGAGGGGGCGGGGCGGGCTGGGCGCTGGGCTGGCTGGCAGGTTTGAGGAGCCCACAGAGTCTCTTTCCATAAATAAGTTTTCGTTTTAACTGTCCGACTAACTGGTTTTTAAATAGTCTCTTGGGGGGCATTTGAGATCTTGTTCCCAGACATATGTCAGTTTGGCTCAAATAAACTCTTAAAAATTTTTAAAAGACAGTCTACTGGTCGGAACTCTTGGGGTCCCAGTACTGCTTTACTCAGTGAGCGTTCCGTTGGGAAACAAAACGGGCCGGAGCCGACCTGCGGGTGAGACTGCGGTCCCGGGACCTGCTGCCTAGCTGCTCCGCCTGGGAGCCGGCCCTCCCCTCGGGAGGGGGCTGTCCCCGAGTGGTCCCTCTGCTCAGGCCGCGAGGCCCACGTGCAGCAGGAGAGCGAGGAGCCGGCCCAGGTGCGGAGCTCCGAGATCCGTGGTCCACAGTAGGCCCAGCCTCCTGACTTACAAACTGCCTACTGTGTGCCGGAGCGGATGGGCCTGGAGGGCCCCTCGCCGTGAGCTGCCTCTGTCCAGGCTGCGAGTGACGTCTGGAGAGGAGGCCAGCCCGCGGGCGGCCCAGCCCCACTGGGCCCTCCGGGCTGGGGTGCCGTGTGCGGGGCGGAGCCCAGGAAGGTCCCCGGTCGGCCTCTGGGGGGAGGCAAGGACACGGGGCCCGCCCTGCCCAGCGTCTGCTGCCTGACGGCCCAGTCCCCCGGGACCCTGTGTGACAAGGTGGCTCGGTTCCTCGGGGCACGAGTGGGATGAGGAAGGGGCCCACCCCAAAGGCCGTGCTCGGACCCCTGATTTTAACACGCCTCCCTCTCAAACCGCCTCCCTCTCAAACCGCCTCCCTCTCAAACCGCCCTCACCTCACGGACGCGGAAAGTCGGGCCGAGAGCCAGTAAGGCCCCCGCCCAAGGACAAGCCGCCAGGTGCTGGGCTAGACCCCCGGGGCCGGCACCTTCTCCCCACCTGTCACACCCTCCTTCCCTGCTCTGGACGGGGGGCTGGGGGCAGCGGTGCCCTGGGTCCCACAGGCCTGTCCCGAGGTCACAGGGGCCCTTCTCGCAAAGACAGCCACTCACTTTCAAAATCTCCTGGTGATTCTCCGAGGCGTAGAGCCGCCCGTCGCGAACGATATCCTCTATCAACTGCTGGTAGTCCTCTGCACCCGTGGGGGCAGGAAGGTGAGGCTGCAGACTGGCCGTGGCACGCCCCCTGAACCCCCCCCACAGCCTCTGCCCTCCTTCGCGCCAGCTGTCGGCAGCTTTGCCTCTGAGTCCCTGGGCCCTACCCCCAGATTGTTCTCCAGGTCTCACCAGCTGGAACCCCCTACTCAGTCCTCAGAACTCTGCTGGGGCGGTGCCTTGTGCTGGAGCCCGCAGACCCCATGCCCTGCTCCCCCATCCGCGCCTCGGGCCCGCTGCGTGCCCGTGCCCCCCTCCCCAAGGCTGCAGCCCCCTGAGGCGGTAGGGGGGTGACTAGGCCCCGTGTCCCCAGGGCCGGCCCGGGCTGGGCGCTCACCGTCGTAGGTGACGTAGGGCACTTGGAAGCCTCTGCCGCTGTTGCCTTCGTTGGACTTGAACTGGATCCAGAGCTTCCGGGAGCGGGCGGTGAAGGCGATGGGCCTCTCGTAGGTCTGGCAGGTCTCGTAGGTGGTGACGGACGTGGGCGAGGCTGGGGGTGACGGCACGCCACTGCTCCTCGCCCGCCCCGCCCTGCCCCTCGGGCTGCGTGCCCCCGACCCGGTCAGCCACCCAGCACCCAGCTCATCCTGGTGTCCACACCTCCCACCTCTACCTCGGGTGCCCTTCCCTGCCCTCAGCCCTCAACCCCAGTTCCTCCTCGTCCTTCTGAACCCGTTTCCATGGCCCCTTCTCCAGGAAGCCCTCCTGCCTGCCCCATCCCTGCCACACTCCTGCTCTGCTCTGGTGAACCCTTCATTACAGCCTCTCTCTATGGGGTTGTCACTGTCTCCCTGCCACCTGCTCCTCAAAAGCAGGCCTGTTGCAGCTCAGCTCCGGGGAGGACCCCCGCCCCTCGGAGGCCTGGGGCAACCCACCCCCTTACTGATCCCTGGGAGGCTGCCTGGGGTGCCCGGGGCAGGCGAGGCTGGCTCGCTGAAGCTCAGCCCTGAGCGGGACCAGTGGAGGGCGGGGAGAATGCTGGGGCTGCGGGGCTGGAGACGGGCGGGGCGTGGCCCGGGGCGGGGTTCTGCGCTGCCGTGGGACCCTGGGCAGCCCCCGGCCCCTGGTGGCCTCAGTCCTCACAGGACACCGCGTTTCCGGCCCCCCCGGCTGCACCGAGGGGGACACAGGGATGGAGACCAAGCAGCGCCTCCCACTCTCGCCTGGTCCCTGCGTCTCAGGGGCAGCCTTGGCCCGGGCGGGCAGGCGTCCTTCTGTGTCTGCCTGTGTCCCCCTGCCCCCACCTCTGACCAGGAGCCTGCTCCCTCAGGCGCCGCTGGCCCACGCCAGCACACGCTGTGAGGGATTCGGCCTGGTCCCTGGGGGGCTCACGGGCACCCGGGCCCTTCTGGCTGCCGCGGCGTCCGGCCCGCCGCTCGTCGCCTGAAGCCCCACCACGAGCCCCATGGGGGGGGGACGAGCGGGGCTCACCGAGGGCGGGCAACGGGCGGCCTGACCCTGGTGTCTTGCGTGTGGGCTCCAAGCGGCCCCGTGCCACGCCTGCCCCAGCTCCAGAGGCAGCAGGAGGCCTGTGGGGTAGGGGTCACCCCGGGGTCTCAGCCTGGGCGGTGGGGCAGGGCTGGAGGGACCGCCGAGATGAGAGCCGGCAGACCCGGGGCTTTCCAGACCTTTCCGAGCAGCTCCGCAACACTTGGCCCCGGGGGTCGGTCGGAGGCGGGCTTGGACCCGCCCCGTGGAGCTGCACGGGGGTGAGTGACGGGGGTCGCGAGGCCGAGGCCCCCGCCTCGGCAGGCACCTACCACTCTTGCGCATGACCAGCACGTCGCCACACTCGTCCTCGACGGGCAGGAAGACCTCGGGGACCACGACGAGGATCCTGCGCTTGGGGGGCGGGGAGATGTGCCACACGCACTCCGCGTTGGCCGGGTAGTCGCCGGGGTAGTTGGGGGACTCGATGTAGCCCGTGTAGTCGCCGAGCTCGCCGCCGCAGTGCTGGTCTGTGGGTGCCGTGGCCCGTGGGCCTGCTCAGGCCCAGCCGGGTGGGCGGCTGGCCAGCCAGGCCCGCCGCAGCCTCGGAGGCCGGCAGGACTCCGTCCTGTCTTGGCCTGCCTCCCCCCGGCCCTCCCCACCGGCCAGCCAGGCCCAGAACCCGTCTTCCCTGGGGTCCCCTCCCCAGCCCCACCCTGGGCTGGAGAGGGGCCCCATTTGTGTTGGCTCTCCGAGGGCCGGCGAGCGTCGCCTGCTTCCTGGGCGCCCTCGGCTGCCTCCCCGAACCTGGGTCTCTGTCTGGGCCTCGCCTGGGCCTCCTGCCACGGGCCCCGGGGGCGGGCAGCCTGCAAACCCCTGCAGCTGCCAGAGCCGGAGGGAGCCCCAACACCCCCTTGTCTCCCCTCCCCCGTCTGGGCACGCCTTTCCTCAGCATGGCCCTTGTGCCCAGCAGATGCCAGGTGGGGCGGGCGCCAGGTGGGGCGGGCGCCAGGTGGGGCGGCCCTTCCCCGAAGCGGGAAGGACGAGGGTCAGCAGGCAACCCCCATGGGAAGAGAGCCCCGCTCCCCGTTCTGCTCCTTTTTAGCTCAGCTGCGCGTCCTGGACGGGGCCGCAGGTGACCTTTTTACGGGCTTAAACGGTTCCTGGCCTGAGCCTCGTGAAGGAAGTCACCATCTTCACGCAGAGAGAAGTGAACGTAAATATTGGACGTGCGTACTTTTCTCACACATGCTCATGTAAAAACCCTGTCCTCGTGTCAGAGTTTCTGGGAAACATTTCATGTTCACCTTTTTGCTCCAGAAGCTTCCTTCCCACTTTGGTTTACCCACTTTTACTCATTAGGACGTTTAAAACCGTCTCTGCTGAGCTCCAGCACTGTGCCTGCTCTTCTGCCCCGGGGGCCATGCCTGCAGCTGGGGGCAGCCCTGGGCAGAGGGGACGGTTTCGACCCCAGGACTAACCCCCTGTCAGGGGCCTCTGGGCTGTCCCAGAGATGACCAGCGGCCCAGCAAAGGGACTGGCCGGCTGGGAGCCGCATGGGGAGAGGGCAGAGCGCCGGAACACAGGCCCTGAAGGGCTCTGAAAAACGAGCCAAAAGAACCTAAAGTCAGGTCAGCACCCTCCTTGTCAGGCCCGAAGGAGCTGCTCAGTGCCGGCTGGAGGCGTTACCGGTTTCCCCGACTGTCTGGCGCTGCCCACCTGTCTCCGGGGAAAGCGAGTTGCTCATGAACATGGGCAGGGGCGGGGTCTCTTCCTGGCATGGCCACACTGGGCACACTTGGCCTCCCGCTTCCTGGGACCCCGGTGGCCTGGTTCTCACCCACCCGGCAGTCTGCTCGGTGTGGGTCTTCCACTGCAGGGCCTGGCTCTCGGCAGCTGCCCCCCAGACTTGCCGGCCCTGCCCTGCTTCCCCTCCCACGGACCCAGAGCCCGCAGCAGGGCCTGGCCTGGCCCAGAGGCGCGGGCCACCCCAGGGAGCGGCGGGACAGGTGCGGGCCGGGCGTGCGGCCAGCGCTCTGCAGACCAGGCCGTGCTGAGCTCAGCTCCCACACCATAGGCTTCTGGGTGGACGCCCCTGCCCCTGCCCCGGCACCCCCCAGCACCCCGGCACCCAGACCCTAGGAGGGGCGGCACCTACTTTTGCAGTGGGTGACATTGGTGGAGCCGTCGAAGTCCGTGCTGGTGTTGCCCGGGCAGGCGACACAGTGGTTCTGGCCGAACTCGGGCTGGTAGGTGCCGGCCGGGCAGCGGACACACCGGTGCGTGGTGGTGTTGTAGTGGTGGCCCGGGGAGCAGTGCACTGGGGGGGCACCGGTGGGGAAGGGTGGGGCACTCTCCCCGGGCCCCCTGTCCCCCAGGTCCCAGCATTCGAGGCCCTTCCCCACCGCCCGCTGACCTCCCACTGCCCGTGTCCAGTCCCTGGGCAGGCTGACCCCTCTGTTCCCTGATCCCGTCCAGAGTGTGCAGAGTGCTCGCTCGCTCCGTCTGGGCGGGGCGCGGAGGGGAGCAGGGCTGGGAGCAGGGCTGTCGGTGGGCCGGTGGAGGGTGGCTCCGGGGGTGGGGGTGAGGGCTGGGGACCATGGGTGTGGGTGGAGGACTGGCTGGGTTTCAGCTGGTAGCTCTGGAGGGAGGGTCTCTCTTAAGGTGAGACTCTGACCTCGCCCCACTGTCCCTGCTGCCCCTGCACTTCTTCACCCTCCTCCCCCGACAACTCCCTTCTCCACGCCACAGGAAGCCCTTCCAGTGCCCAGAGGCGCTGGCAGCGCCCCCTGGTGGCTCCAGGGGCTCAGCGCTCCGCACAGTAACTGCCGCTGGCGCGGGCCCTGCCGTGCAGCGCTGTGCTGGCCACCTGGTCTCTCGCCTGATGGCCCGAGGCTCCTCCTCTGACTCGGGAGGTTTGCGGGCAGGAAACGGCCCCTGGGCAGCTCTGCCAGGGCTGTGGGGTCAGGGGGTGTCCTCACCTTTGGTCTCACAGTCTTGGAAGGAGGCCGAGCCCTCGAGCTTGGTGAGCAGCCCGCCGCCGCAGGGGAAGCAGCCAGTGCGCCCGGGCTCTGGCTGGTACGAGCCCACGGGGCAGGCCTGGCAGGGCTGGAAGCCATCAGCTGAGAAGGAACCCGGAGAGCACTGGCCTGGGGGGCAGAGGTCACGGCTCACTCGGGCTGCGGGAGGGCTGCCTCGGTCCAGGGCCTCCTCCTGGCCTTCACCTGCCCCTGGGGCGGGCAGCAAGGCACCAACATTGGGGGAGGCGCCTGGGAGGAAGCCTGGGCTGCCCCCCCCCCGCCCCGTCTGCAGCTGCCAGAGGCTTCCCTCCGTGTGGCTCCGCGGGCTTGGCTTGCCCCTCCCACCAGCAGGAAGGGCAGGCGGCCTTGCCGCTGAGCCGGAAAGTACGGGCCCCCATGGAGAGATGGGAGGTGGAGGGGTCATTTATTTCAGGGTGTTCTGGCACTGAGTAAGGGGTGGCTTACGGCCCTCTCAGCCCAGACTCTGGGTTCTCCGCCCCCAGCCACGGCCACTCGGAGGTTCCCCTGGGGACAGACACACGGAGATGGCACTCCCGGAGGGGCGCGGGCCAGAGGCAGGCGGCAGCCTGCGGAACCCAGGCCTGGCTCCGACCGCGTCTGCCCCGGGAAGGCTGGAGGGAGGTCTCTGGGCCACCCCCAGGACCCCACTTGGCCGCCCTCGCAGGCACGCTCCCCTCGTTCCCTGGGCAGTTCCCGCAACGGCCCGGGACGGGAGGCGGACCGGCGAGTGGCCCCGAGCCCCTCTCCCGGATGAGGCTTAAGTGGGGCGGCAGATGGAAAAGCTCTCTGCAAACCAAACCGAGTTCGGCACGTGGACCGAGGGCTTTCCGGATCACCTCCAGGGCCAACTGGACCGCTCTCGGCATCGAGAAGGCTCTCGCCCCGGCACACGTTGCACTTCATAGAGCACTTCCTTGGCCGTGGCCGGTGTGGCTCAGCGGACCGAGCGCCAGCCTGCGAGCTGGAAGGCTGCTGCTTGTATTCCCGGCCAGGCACTCGCCTGGGCTGCGGGCCAGGGCCCCAGTGGGGGGCGTGCGAGAGGCGGCCGATCAATGTATCTCTTGCGCATCTACGCTTTTCTCCCTCTTTCTCCCACCTCCCTCCCCCATCTCTAAAAATACACACACAAAATGTTTTTTAAAAAGCATTTTCATGGTGGTGGTGTGCTCCCCAAGATGCACCACATTTGGTCAACCTTGAAGCACCCCGTGCCTCCACCATAACCACAAGCTGGCCTGTAACCATTCAGGCGGTTGTAAACTGTAACGTCCTTTCCAAACTGCAGGGGGCGTGCCCGAGCCTGGGGCGGGCAGCCCAGTGCACCTACACTGCTGTGGCCGATGCCACGTGGACGCTGCGGGCCTGCTCTGTTCCCAGGCCAGGGCAGGCTCTGCAGAGAGTAGGGCTTTACAAATGTCACAAGGCTCTGGGGTCTTTGCTTCGGGAGCTTGGGTGGAGACAGAGGGCGCCCGTCCCCATCCCCCCGTCCTTCCAGGCTGGGCCCACACTCGCCTCCACACTCAGATACGTTGCGGGCACCGGCCAGGCCGAGCCCGTCGCTGCTGGGGCACGGTGTGCAGCTGAGCTGGCCGCCCCTGTCCTGGTAGGTCCCCGGCGTGCACAGCGCACACTGGCCGGAGTCTCCGTGGAAGTAGGTGCCGGGCTCGCAGGCTACTGCAGAGGCAACGTGGTGAGGCTGCTGGTGGCTGGGGGGCCCGTCTGCTGGGGCCTCAAGCCCAGGGTCTGCCCCACCAGACGGGGCACAGCCCCGGTCCCTGGGGCTCAAAGGGCGCAGAGCGGCCCAGACCCGTCCCAGAAAGGCCAGGGGAGGGGCCGTCTGTGAGGACCTGGTTTCACACCCCCTCCTGGCTGCCCCCGCTCAGGGTCCCCTGCGGACCCCTCCACCCCTGCCCGGGGCCTGGCCCCGGGGCAGCAAGTCACGTGACAGGCACCAGGACCAGCGCGGCGCGCTGCTCTCCGGCAGGCCTCCCGTGGCCCCGTCCCACCTCCCCCTGGACGTGCCTGTCTCCCTTGCGGGCTGCTCCCTGGGCTGCTCGGGGGGAGGGGGGGGAAGAACAGAGGAAGTGGCCGTGGCAGGGACTCACCGCACTTGCCGTCCTGGAGCACCTGGCCCGTGCCGCACGCCCCCTGGGCCTCCGGGGCCTTGGCCGGCCGCTGCGCCACCTCGTACTCAGTGCCCGCGACCTGGACGGAGAAGCGCTGCCGGCCGACGGCCTTGCGCAGGGTCCTGAGGGCGGCCTGCAGGCTCTGCTCCGCTCGCTTGCGCACGCAGTCCGCCTCGCAGGTGTCTGCGGGGGTGGGGAGGGCCGTCACGGGCACCCGCGGCCCACCGGGGGCTGCCCACACCCCAGGCCTCGCCTGGGCCAGCCACGGCCTGGAGCGCATGCCTCAGCGGGCCGGGCGAGGAGGCAGCATCTCTCTGACAGGCCGGGAGACCGAGGCTCCTGGAGCCAGGCCCCGCCCGAGGCCCCGCCCGAGGCCCCGCCCGAGGCCCTGCAGCCGACCTGGGGGCCAGGCCTCTGCTGCTACACGCCACCCCTCCCCAGGGCACGGCTCACTTGACGGGCGCGCCTCCCTGCCACTCAAACACCCTCCGGGCTGCCGCTGCTCCCGGTAAAATGCCCAGCACTCTGGCCTTGGGGCCCGGGCCCCTCGAGGCACAGCACGGCGCCAGCCGGCCCTGCCAGCCCCACTCCCAGCACGCCCACACGCGCCGTGACTGCTCCGAGACATCCCGCCTCTCTCACTGCTTCCCAGACACAGCTTGCCCCCTCTGACCTCTGTGCCTCTGCCTATTCTATTCCCCCTGCCTGAACGCCATTCCCTGCCACCTCTTCCACTGGGTGAACTTGGTTTCAAGTCCGGAATCAATGGAGGCTCTCTTAGGAAGACTTCCTGGGCTCCCCTCCGGGGCAGAAACCTCCGCCCTGGGCCCTGCGTGTCCCCGCAGCACTAGGCAGTCCCTGTGCAGGCCTGCACGTCTGCTGCCCGGCCCCAGCTCCTCTGTCACAACTCGGCGCGCGTTGACGGCCAAGAGGAGGGCGTCGGTGTGAACTCCAAGCTCCCCTCCGGAACCGGGGGAAGACGGGTCTTCGGCGCGATGGCTCTGGGCGGGCCGTGGGGACCAGCCCCTCCAGGCCCCAGCGAGGGCGGAGAGGGGTGGGAGAGGCCGTGTGGCTGTCCCCGTGGGCCCCGAGCCCTTCTGCTCACTGACAGACGCCCCTACCGAGGCCCTCAGCAGCCCACAGGGGAGCCCCTCGCCCACCTGAGGCCTCTTCGGCCTTTGTCTCGACCTCGAACTCTGCTGTGATGTGGGTCACCTCCTTGGACGGGGACTTCTGGCCACGGCGCCTCTTCTTGGAGGAGTCGCACTTGAGGGTCACGAAGGTCAGGTGGTAGTTTTCTGGACAAGGAAGGGACGGCTGTGGCAAAGCTGCCCAGGGCAGGGAGTAGCGTCCCACCTAGGCGGCACACAGACGGCTGTCGGCCGGGGTCCCGCTCGCCCGAGGGGCAGACGGGGAAGCCGGGGCTGGGGAAGGCCGGGCCGGGCTCCGGGCCTCATGAGGGGCCGGTGGCTGACCCAACCCTGTCCCGGCCCCCCGAGCCCATCACGGGGAGGCGCCCCCTGCATATTCCTGGTGCAGCTGCGGCTCAGGCAGCTCGGCCTCAGGGCTGGGCCTCCTGAGTGCTGAGGGCGGCTGGCTTTGGGGAGCAACCCTAGATGCTCAGCTGTCTTCACGGAAGCAGAGCTGAGAGGTTCCCCCCACTACCCCCCTCCTGGACATCCTTCTGGGGCGCCTGCCAGAGGACCAGCTGTGAAGTGAGCCCCGGGGGTCCCTGACACTCGGACGGAAGGCCCCTGCCCCAGGGAGCTCGTTAAGCCCAAGCGAGGCGAGGATGAGGGTCCCAGGGATGCTGGGGGACCCAAGTTTCCCACTTATTGCCGACTACCTCCCCAGGGGCCACCGCCGTTGTCCACAGTGCCCCAGGTGCAGCTGCCGCGGCCAAGGGGCCACGGTGACAACAATGCAGAGGCTCTGTCCCCACGGACCCAGCCTCTCTGGACGCTGGCTCTCGGCCCCCCCGCAGGGGAACCCCCGCTGCCCCTGGCGTGGCTTGGCACCAGGTGGCCCACTCACCCAGCAGCAGCTGCCTCAGGGCCTCCTTGGCTGGCTCCCGGCCACGGGGCCGGAGGTGGCACTTGGCATCCCGGATCTTGAAGCGGGCCTTCTGCCTGATGGGGGTGGTGGGGGCGCCTGGGGAAAGCCAAGGTCCCCAGGTGGTGGCCTCCTCTGCGGCAGGGAGGGGGTGGGGGCTGGGGGCTGCAGAGGGCACGCCTGAGTGTGAGGGGCTGCTGGGGGCCCATCCACCAGGGTCTGGAGTGGCCTCATGTCTCTCCTTGCAAGGCCAGAAAGGGCCCAGATCGGATGGTGGGGCCAGGATCCGGCCGGGGCCACCCGGACAGACTCTTCTGCGGAAGAGGACAGGAGAGCCTCCCCACCCCCACCCCCACCCCCAGGCCAGTTTGCGTGGCTCGCGCTTTCAGGACAGGGGTCAGAGGAGAGAGGGGAGCAAGGGAGGGAGGGGGGTCGAGATACTACAGATGCCCAGACCGCGGCTTCCTCCGAAGAGGGAGGCGCAGCCCCCTGGACCAGGGAGCCCGGCAACCACGGAGGCGCAGAGCCCTGCCGGGCCGCGTCAGGCACACAGATGCACCCAGGCCGGTGAGTCGGCACCCTGGACGGGACAAGGTGATGCCGACCCCACCCTGCTCCTGCTGGGGGGCGGAGCCAGGGTGGGTGAGCGATGTGCATCTGGCACCTCAGGGCAGCTCTGACTCGGGAAGGACCAGTGGCCACAGCAGGTGGGACTCACTGCACAGACACAGAGACCCCTGAACTCCCAGCGCCTCCAGGCCTAGGACCGCCCTGGTGCCGCGGCCTGCAGCCTCCGTGTCCGAGGGCCCTCCCACGGTCTGCTGCCCCCGGGCCGGGGCTCGGCCCGCAGCCTGCTTGCTCCCAGGTCCTGGCCTGCTCTCAGCGACTGAGCTCCCCCGGAAGCTCTTCTCTGGGCCACGCCCCTCCCACTGCCCCCAGCGAGGAGCCGGACGCCAAGTCGAAGGCCGCCCCCGGGTGTGTGCCACTCGGACAGGCCTGGGCTACCTGAGCAGCTGGGCCCGGCGCTGGAGCTGGTGCCATTGCGCTTCTGCAGCGTCCTGCCCTGGAGACCGGGGACACCGCAGCTCAGGCTGTAGCTGTTTTCCGAGTCTGCGGAGAGGCCGGCAGTGAGGTGGGCCTGGCGCCCCTCCCGTCCAGGGCCCCCAGGCCTCAGGGGCCTCCGCGGAGAGGGACAGACCCTTCCGTCAGTTCACTTCTGCTGCTCAACCACAGGTCAGCGGCTGGGCAGGAAAGGGCCCACTTGTGGAGGGGACCAGACGGCTGCCCAGAGTCGCCCAGAGATGAGGGCTGGGGCCCTTCCTGGAGACCAGCAGGGGCAGGTGTGGGCCCAGGGGAGGAAGCGGCCCGCCCCTCCCATCCCGGGGACAGTGTCAGGTACCTGGCGAAAAGTGGGTGGGAGCCGGGCAGGAGAGGACGCAGCTTTCCACGCTGCCGCCCTTGCTGCAGGACAGCTGGGCCTGGGGGGCGGCCCTGGCCCGGGAAAGGCACTTGCCTGTCTCTGCAGGGAAGGGAGACAGGAGAGAAGACAGGAGAGAGGGCTCGTGGGGGCCGGGGCAGGGGCTTCCTGGGGCCAGTGTGGGCATGGACCACCGGGGACTCCCACTGCACCTGTGCCACGGCCAGATGGCCCTGGAGGGCAGGGGACGCGTGGGCACTTGGGGCTCAGAGAGCCAGCTTGCTCCCTTCCCCCACACGGGGCTGGGCCCAGACCAGGCGCTCCGGAGGGCAGGCTCCTCCGGAGCAGGCGTCTAAGCCCAGCTGGGGGAGGGACCACTGAAAAGGGACACGGGCTTCTTGGCCGTGACCAGCTGTAAGCACGTGGGCTGCTAGGAGGCCCCAGGGGCAGCCCTCGGACGCACCCCCGAGGCGTCTGAAGGTGTCCAAATCCGCGCCCTCCGGGTTCCTCTCGTGTCTCCTTGTGCCCTGGGGGCCCGGGCAGTGCCCAGACTCGGAAGGACAGACCGAGGGTCCTGTCGTCCGGGAAGCGGCAGGACTGGTCCAATGGGGCCGCAACACCCGGCCTCAGCGAGCGTGCCTCTGGGGGCGCCCGCTCTGGTCCCGGGGGAGGGGCAGGCTGCCACAGGGGCCTTGTTGGCGACATAAACTGAAGTGGGAAACTGCCAACTGGGGTGATCTTCAGCCTGTGGCTGCACATTTTCCGGAAGCCTCAGGAAGTGAATACTCCAGAAACACGAACCCACTGTCCTCCCGATACAACATCCGGCCGCCCACTGAACGCGAGGCCCAGTGTCTCTGTCTCAGGAAACCAAGAACCGCCCGTGAACACGCCTACAGATGGCTCGAGCCAGGCGGGCCCCCAAGGGCGCCCAGGGCCACGCTGGTGAGGAAACAGGGTGCCACCTACACGCTTCCCAGGAGACACCCCGAGAGCTCCCTGCACTTGCTGTCAATTCCCCAGGGGTCGGCTGGTACCACGGACAGACGCCCGCCAGGTTTGGGGTCCGGGGGCCCATCGGTAACCCACAGCACCCCGGGTGCAGTGTGAAGACGGGACGCAGATGGGGGGCCGCCCCCTCGGGGCCCACCAGGTCGTGACCGTGCCCCAGCGACAGTGTGCGCGCTTCCCGGGTGAGCCGACGCGGCTCCTCGTGCTCCGGTGGCCGCAAAGACAGCGCCGAGGAGGACGGCACTCCCAGGGCTCAGACAGGGTCGGGTTCTGCAGCCCTTACTCGGGGCACGCCAGCTGCCTCGGCGGCCCGCAGGCACGTCCGACTGGGGGTGCTGCTCGTAAAGCACCGGGAGACGTCACCTCTTCGTCACCCCGGTGCAGTGCGTCGGAAGGTGGCAATGCACCCTGCAGAGTCACCTGTGGGACGGCGCAGTCTGAGGTCCTCCCGAGGGCCCCCGGCACGGACGGGCCCCAGAAACCGGCCGCTGTCCCGGAGCCTCCGACAGGAAGGTGACAGCGCGAAGCAGACCGCCCCCGCCCAGGCCCCCCAACCCTGCGCAGGTTCCCCGGGGCGTCCACTGGTCTCTGGGCTCCCTCCGCACGCTCTCCGCCCTCTGCTCTGCGGGCCTCGGCCTCCCGCGCCTCACCCACTCAGGGTCACCAGGCCGGACGTGCCCACCCGCGCCTCCCTGCGCACTGACAGCCGCCACGCACCTGGCCTTCACTCGGGTGCGGCCATCGTCCCCGTTCTTTCTTTTTCAGAACCCACATTCCTTTATTCCCAGTTCCAGATCTCACATCTCCCGACAGCGCTCACAGAGAGACTTCAAACGTGTGTCTTCCGCAGAGAGCCCACAGGTCTGCCGCGCAGATCTGCCGCCATCACACGGACCGTGCGCCGGGCCTGACGGGCGTGCGCCGTCTCCCGGCATCACTGACCCCTCGACCCCGGGACTGCCACCTCGCTTCGCGTCCTAATCGCAGCCCCTGAGGTTCAGGTTACTTTGCTGAGGCACGAAGCTGGTAAAAGGTGTGAGGGTTTTCCCTCTTCTGCCTGGAACGCCACGCGGGATTCTCTAAAAGGTAAGTTCTCATGTTGGCACCAAAGATGATTCAGCATCTCTTATCAAAACCAACCTCAATGTACCCTCCAAACAGCTGCTGTCACTCCCGGCTGTCTCGGCGTTCCCACCGGACTCTCAGAGGTCGGCGTCGGGGTCGGAGGCCAAGACCTTTCCTGCACCGCGGGCCTCGCCAGCAGGACCGGCAGTGGCAGAGGGCCGCGTGGCGTGCTGAGCTGGGACCCTTCTCCCGCCCAGACTCTCCCCTTACGACGACGGACTGGTTTTCTCCATCTCAGTCGGGGTGGACGTCTCTTTAGCTCCTTGGTTGTCGGACTTCCATGCAGTTTGAGTTTCTGGCAGCTCTGGCTGTTGTTTGTTTTTAAGTTGGTTGTTGCCCTTCTTTTGCCATGTGAGGAGGTGAAGCGTTTCTACTCACGCCTCCGTCTCGGCCAGAACGCCCGCCCCCCTGTCCCAGCTCTTCCAGTCGGTGCTCCAAGCTGTTGCTCGGGAAGCTGGCAATGAAAAATGGTGCCGAGTGTGTCCCCCGAACTCACTGGTTACAATGCTCTCTGCAGACAAGACACAGAAGAGCAGGGAAGTGCCCAGCTCTGGGCGACGGGGCAGGGGGGCCACCATCCTGCAAGGATTCCGACTGTGCCTTGTGGTGACACCCAGAGACAAGGCGCCGCAGCTCTAGGAGGTCCCGGCTGGAAGCCTGGCTCATCAGGGCCACAGTGACAGGGAAGGATTCCCCAGCGCCCTCCGTGCAGGACGCCTGCTTGCAAAGCACCCGAGGGCCCGTCTCCGGGGACGTGAACAAGGCCTGGGGAAGCAGCCTGCGGAGGCCGCCGGTCTGTCCGGAGAGAACCCGGCATGGCGGGGCCACGACGGACCACCTGGCCTCCTCGTGCAGGTAGTCGTGGGCAACAGGAAGACCCTGGGCTTTCTCTGGCCAGCCAGGGGGCGTCTGAGCCACTGCCAGCACTTCCCTTTGCACTTGAACTCGCAGCGGAGGGGGGGCGGGACAGTCTGCACTGGGGCTCAGTGAGCAGAAAGCAACTTGGATGACGAGACGGAGGAGGCTGGGGACTCAGTTCTCTCATCAGTCCCAGGACTCTCAGACCATGGCTCTAGAGGGCCTTCCAGAAGCTTCTAAATAGCACCTTCTGCAGCGTGTGTTTGTCTCAGTCACTCTGTGTCTACTGTCTGGAACACTCACCACTTTCACAGTCCCAGCCCAGCAGGCAACGTGGACACCACAGTGGGGTGCAGCCACCCTGGCCTTGACCTGTAATCAGGCTTCTCCATGGAGGCGCAGTGGCAGTGCCCACGATCGGGACGAGCCCTGCCGGCCGCTCCTGCCGCTCCGACGGAGGGACGGTGACCGAGCAGGGGGACCCTGACTGAAGACTAGCCCCCCCCCACCCGCCCTGAGCCTGGAGAAAGCCTGAGGTCCGAGAGCTCCGGGATCAGGTGGGCGCCTGACCCAGCAGGACCCGAGTTCAGGCTTCTGAGCCTGGTTTTCCTTGGTGCCCAGCACAGGCCGCACTCCTACGACTGACCCCACCTATTCCTTCCCGTTACCAACGCAACCCCAAACAAGCTCCTCCCCAAGCTGGGGGAGGGCCAGCGGTTTGCTTTGCTCAGCACGGCTTTGCCTGATTGGCATAGCCATTCTTACCTAAGTAAGTAGCAAGTTCAGCTTTCTGACTTCCGGTATTACGCTCACTCTGGACACTTTCATTCATTCAACACACAGGCACCGAGTGTCGCACTGCCAGGCTCTGCCCTAGGTGCTGGGGGCACGGCGGCGAACAGACCGGACAAAGACACCTGTCTGGCCGTGCAGGGCACGCACTGCGTGAGGGCAGACGGGCCGGCCCAGCAGGCGCGTGTCCGACAGCTGCCACGCCCGGTGGTTCCAAGGGCAGCGGGAGGGAGGAAAATGGGAAGCAAGGGGCCCGGAGGGCACAGAGGTGGTAGGCTGCGCCCTGGGCTTGTGCCGGGGGACAACCTTGTGGTGTGCAAGGAGCCCTCCAGGTCGGGAGGAGTGCCCGAGCCCACTGTGCTGAGGTTGGGGGGCCACACCACAGCTCCATGAGGCTGGTGGGAGCAAAGGAGGGAGGGGGCGGGGAGGCCCCCCGGCCAGGGTCCAACAGCCTGTGACAGATCACTGGCTTTGCTTCTGTGCAGAGGAGTCCCTGGAGAGCTTAGTGCGGAGAGGGGTGCGGTCAGACCCACACCTGAAACACTCACTCGGGCTGCCCTGCGCGCGGACAGCCCAGCCCCCAGAACAGGCTGGGCGCCTGGCGGTGAGGACGTGTCTGGTGAATGTAGGGGGTGGTCCAGCACCCAGAGTGCACTGTCTCGGGACGAGTGGTCCCATGCTCCAGCAGGCCCACCCTGACGCTGTGGGGCTGCAGTCTGGGCGGTGGTGGGTTTGCAGAGACCACGTGATCCCAGGGGCTCCCAGCCAGGTTCTGAGGCTACTGCTCCCCTCTCAGCTTCCATGGCAGGACAAGGGGGAGCTGAGGCCTCCCCACTCCCTCCCTCTAAGCTTCCAGTGCCTCTTGAGCCCACAGTCTGGCTGCACACGCTGACCCCGCCCCCCGCAGGTGTGTCTGTGCACCTGCGGGCACCGAGCATGTTCTGCCACCGTGTCCCCTCAGCTTCCATAAGCCTCGTTCCCACCAGCCACGTGCCAGCAGCAGATAGCGTCTGCCCGGTGACCCCGAAGCACACGGGAAGTGGTGGGCCCCACCCCCCTCTCCCACCTGCAGAAGCCTCTGGCCTCCCCTGCACCCAGCCCTGGGTAGGAAGGCGGGTCCCAGCGATGGTCGCCCCAGGACACTCACCCACGCAGTCCTTCTGGTTCCAGTGGAGCCGCCTCCCTGGGGAGCAGACGCACTCGAAGCTGCCCTTGGTGTTGACGCAGCCCTCGTCACAGCTCCCGTTGTTCATGCTGCACTCGTCCATGTCTGCAAGCACAGGCGAGTGGGCGTGAGGGCCGGAGGGCGCTGGGAGGGCCAGCCCAGGCCACGCCCTCAGGGCAGGAGGGCTGAGAGTCCCCGACCGCAGCGTGGTACTGTCATCGTACGCAGACATTTGGACACACACATCACCGGCTGACACACACGTGCACATGTAGCCACACACATCACGAGACACGTGCACACACCACATATGCACACACACCACACACGTGCACCTGTGCACAACTACACGCCAGATGTGCATGCCCCCCACACGTGCACACACCACACACCAGATGTACACACATGCACATGTGCACGCACATCACACACCAGATGTGCGCGCACACCACACACTAGACATGCAAATGTGCATGCGCACATGCCACATACCACACACACACCAGATGTGCACGTGTGCACACACATCGCATGCCAGATGTGCACACGTGGACGTGTGCATGCACAGGGCTCCTACAGGCACCAGCACACACCCCTCCCTCCTGGACTAGGGTCGGGCAGCGAAGTGGCACAAAATTCAGGTTCTCATCAGCTCTTTGGGACACGAGTGAGCACTGGCCCAGGACCGTGAGGCCCCATCTCGCCGTGGGACTTGGGACAAGCCCTTCCCAGCTGTTCCCCTGCCGTACGACAGGCACAGGCTGAGGAAAGTCGAGTCTGAGGCTTCCTCTGACCACCACAGACCATGAGCGCCCACTGGAGTGGGGGTGGGGCTGGACTGCATTCACCCAGGGGTGCATGACTGTGAGCACCCCCACCACCTGCACTGGGGAGCAGCGGGCCCAGGGAGGCCGGCACCCAGGTTTTGGGGAGTCCTTGCATTAGAGCCTGTAGCCTACCCTAGGAGCTGCCCCCCACACCAACTGTGTGTGCCCACTGCACTGCCCGGCCCATCGGACTTCCACAGCCGCCCCGCAGACAGAGTGGCTACTCCCAGGCCACGGGAGAGGAAGAGGCCCCCGGACTGCAGGGCCACTCTCTGCACGGCCATGCCCGTACATCTCCAAGTCCCACGCCTGTGGCTCCTAAGTCCACCGAGACCCTTCCCCTTCCCTGCCCGCCCTGGCCAGCTCCAGCAGCTCTGGCCCCCACGTCCGCAGCCACCTGCCCCCTGGCGCCCTGGGTTCCACTCTCCTGAACCCACGGCAGCCAGAGCAACCTCAGCTCGTCTCCTTGTCACACCCCTGATTAAAGCCGCCGGTGGTTTCTCCCTGGGAACGAACCCCAAGGCCCCAGGGGCTCATGAAGCCCTGTTTCCACCATGCCTGCAACTCCCGCCATGCTCACGGGGCTCCAGACACACCGCGGCCTCTCGGCCCCTCTGTGCGCCCCCTGCCCCGGCGCCTTTGCACATGCTGGTCCCGCTGGCATGCCTGCCCTCGTCTGGACCCAGCCTCTCCCACAGCAGGAGCCCCCACTGTCTCCCTACTCTGCCCTCTCTGCTGTCTCTCTCTCCCCCACTGGAACAGACCGTCTGTGGGGTTCTCTGTGTGGCAGCTGCCCCCTCCAGACTGGGCCTGCTGCTGCTCCTTCCAGGCCTATGCCCACAGCCTCAGCAGGGTCCTTGCCGTCTCCCACCCCCCACCGCCTTGCCCTTGGCTGAGCCCCTCTGCCCGTCCGTCCCCAGCTTTGGTGTGGTCCCTCCAGGCCCATCAGGGTCAGGGTGTGGGGTGCAGTGTGGGTGGCCGTGCGGCCAGGTGCGTGCCTCAGGGGGGAGGTGGCCCGGCGGGCGGGTTGCAGACCTCCGCAGTGGGTGGTCCCGTAGAGCGTGTAGCCGAGGCGGCATAGGCACTGGAAGCTGCCCGGGGAGTTGATGCAGGTGTGGTCGCAGGTCCGCTCGAAGGAGCACTCGTCGATGTCTGCGGGGCCGCGGGGAGACAGCGTGAGGGGAGGGGTGTCAGGGCCAGGCGGGCGGGCACGACCGTCACTCAGCCCTGCACTGCGCATCTGTGCACGCCCGACCCTGGGCGCAGGCCCTGCTGGTCGCTCGCTGTCACCGCCTGACTCCCTGTTCTGTCTCTGCTACGTAGGTCTCAGGGTCAGCAGCCACCTCACGTCTGCCCGCAGGTGGGCAGGGCGGAACACTTTGAGCAGGAGGGCTGGTCCAGACGCCTGCCGTTTGACGCCTCCACTCACCTGTGGTGTGGGCTGGTTCCGTCCAGCCGTGCGGGAACAGACGCGCGGTGGGGAAGCAGAGGCAGCGTGGGCCCTGGTCGCACCCGGGCAGGTGCTGCGCTCCCAGGGGACCCGTGTCCCACAGAGGAACCCCGGCCGGGGCTCGGAGAGCCCCAGGACTGGCGCCCCGACCCGCCCTGCCTCCTGATTTTGCCCTCCTTTCGGGAGCACCCCCTCACCCCTCAGGGCCTCGAGCCGCCCCGAGCTGGGCTCTGCGGGGCACCAACGGCCAGAAGCTGCGCGTCCCGTAGCCCGCAGCCACTGGAACCCCGAGGGGGCCAGGCAACTGGACAGCAGAGTGGCCGTGATGGCATCGGCCGCTCCCCACCACACAGGCCTCCGGGCCCTCCGCACTCTCGCTCCGAAGCTGGCCCCGCAGGGCCCCTCCGGGCCCCGGGCTCCCTCAGCGGCACTGTGCCACCTCTGGGGCGGGCGGACCGCCCCGGCTCCTCCACGGGACGCCTTCCCTGCCCCTCTCACTGCTCATCCTCTGGGCTCTTGCTAAATCCCGGATGTTGCTGGGCCTGTCCTGGGCTCTGAGTCCTGGTTCTGCCCACACTTCTGCTCCCGTTATCCCAGCTCCCAGCAGGCTCGGGGGACCCTGCAGAAGGGCCGCTGGAGAGCGCCTGCCTGCAATGTGCTGTTCCTTCCACCAGGCGGCAGCATCCCCACTCCGAAGCCGCTGAAGGAGGCTGGGGGCCCCGGGAGGGAGTGAGGGACAGATGGAGCTGTAAGCCCTGACGCCCACTGGCTGTGCACCAGGGACCCTTGCTGATCTCTCCCTGGGTCTCAGTAAAAGGGGCAGATTGGGCTGGACAGCCTCTGGGGGCCCCTGCAGTCACACAGGGCAGGGAAGACGGTGCACAGGAGCACGTGCTAAGGACCCCGAACTGGCCTGCTTCTTCGAGTGCAGCCTGCACGGGGGACCAACCCCACCCCCGGGAGCCTGCACCAGCCCGGGCGGGGAGGGGCCCGAGGGGCCCGCGGCACAGAGAAGGCTCACCCTGGCACGTCCGCTCGTCGGTCAGCAGCTTGTAGCCCTTGCGGCAGCCGCACTCGAAGCTGCCCACGGTGTTGCGGCAGAAGTGGTCGCAGCCCCCGTTGTTGGCCAGGCACTCGTTGATGTCTGCGGGAGCCAAGCGGGAGGGAGGGGCGAGGGGCTGGGGCGCAAAGCGGGGACGATGGCCCGCCCTTCCCTCACTTGCTTGCCACCCTCCAACCAGTGCCGGCCTCAGTTTCCCCGAGCGAGCTCAGGGCTGAGGTCCCAGCCCCCAGCAGGGGGACCAGCAGGCTGGGCAACACCCCTCCACGGGATGGCGGCGACCACAGAAGGGAAGGGAGCCGACGCGTGCCGTGTCGGCACGACAGTGGGGACGCCGATGGCCCCCGAGAGCTCGCACTGGTGTGCTGAGGGAGGCGGCGGAGGGCAGCGGGCCTGGCAGACAGGTCACTCCCCGTGGCTCCGACCTGGCTCCCGACCCAGAGCTGAGGGTGCGAGTGAAGCGGCGGCATCCCTCCCTGAGGCCCTGGTGCTCCGCACGTGCCCCCCGACCCCTGACTCTGAGCCTCTGCCTGGCCGGGGGCGCCGCCGTGGGGTGACCCGGGCCTGACCTCTCAGTCCCTTCTTCCTGCTGCCCCACCCGACGCCCACTTGCTGGGTCCGCCGGCTGCGCACTCAGATTTAACGAGTGGGGCTGCACCCTGAGGGTTCCCTGGCCCGACCCCCTGCTCTCTGCCTCCAGCGGGGACTTCAGCCCCTGACGCAGCATCGCCGCTTTGGGCGGCGCTGAACTGGGACTGACGCCGAGGGCTGCTCAGTGCTGCAAGCTCTGTGGCCCACAGTTCAGGACCAGAGCTGTCTGGGGCGAGCCCACGCCCAGTGGGCGGCTGGACCCTCTGTGGTCACTTGGCCTGCTGGGCACCGCCTCGTGTGGGGACTGGAACAAGCCGTTTCCGGCAAGGTCTCGGGTGAGCTTCAGAGCACCGGGGGCCAGATCTCCCACGTCACAGAGGAGGTCACAGCTGCACGCGGGAGCCGGGTTCGGGCCCAGCCGCCCGTCTCCAGACGGGCCTTCTCCGGCGCAGCCTCCAGAGGAAGCGAGCGGGGAGGCCGGGAAGGGCACCTCTCCGAGCCTCGGGGGCCCCACCTGCGGACTGCGCTGCTAACGCCCCCTCTCACAGGGTCGCCGTGAGGCTTGCCCCCTGAGGAACGCCTCAGACCTCCTGGAACCCCGACGCCTCCCTTCCCGGGCAGGCCCATCAGCTAAGGAGCTGTCATAGCAACCAGACAGGCGGCGGGAGGCATGTTTGCTTGAGGCCCAGGCTGGTGCGGCTGGCTGCCTGGGGTCACCGGCGGGGAAGCGTCCCCCAGCTCCGGCCCAGGACAGAGTGAGGGAGTGCGGGGCGCTCACGGCCGCCGACCTTCATCCTGAAGGGGCGCACCGGGGGTGCAGTCCTCTCCCTGCTTCCTGTGTCCTAAGACTCCCCTCCTTCTCCGCTGGGCTCCCCTCCAGCCCTCACCAGGTGGTGGGAAGTCCTCTGCCTGTCCACAGGTCTTCTGTGGCCTCAAGACGTCTCCGAGGAAGGACCCAGCCCTTTTGCAGAGGCCCTCGGCCCGTCCCTCCGAGCCTGGCCCCGCTGCCTCGCCCGCTTCCTGTGTGCCTGGCTCCTGCCCCAGCAGCCCGGGCTCTGGCCGCCCCGCTGGGTGTAGCCCCCGGCCCAGCCTGCCCCGCTGGAAGCCCCCCCTTCCCCACACCCTGTGGAGAGTCAGCTGCCCCCTGGTCCCCGGACCTGCCCCCAGGGCAGTGAGAGGACCTGGAGGACCGAGGGCCTGGGTATCAGGCACCTGCCTGGAGCCCCAGGGCCAGCACGAGGCTGGCACCGAGGGACTGCACGGGGGTGCCCACTGAGCGAATGGATACTCGAAGGAGTTGGAGAGGTGGAGAGGAGGGTGGGGTCATCCGGGGGAACGTTCAAATGGGCACCCCCCATTTGGGGTCAGTGCATGTGTGGGGGGGCGGGGGAGGGGCGCAGCCTGGCAACCCAGGGGCTTGAGGGTGAGGGCTCTTGGGTGGGAGCAGTAGGAGGGCCCAGGAGCGGGCTGGTCACCCCCTCGTGGGCAGCGCTCACTGCTGGGCTGGCCCGGTGGTGGAAGGCGGGTGAGGGAGGAGAGTGATCTGGTGGTGGGTGGGCTTCTCGAACTGTTCTAGAAGGTGCTGGGAGGAGTGGCTGGTGTCCCTGAGGAAATCCAGGCTCCTGCTCAGGGAGCGGAGGCTCCCCGGAAGGCCCCATTGGCAAGATACCCCTCCCAGCACCCAGTGGGTCAGGCCTGAGGCTGGACCCCTGCACCGTCCACACTCTTGACGTGGAGTAAGGGCTTGGGGCAGACCCTCTGGAGCCCCCACTGTCCCACGCAGGCCTCCACCCACGCTTGTGGTGCTCTGGGCCTCCGGAGACCTCTGCTACCTAACCTCCAACCATCGGTCTTGCCTGGCAATGGCTTCTTGGCTTCCAGAAGACACTGTGTCTTTGAGGTCACTCCTCTGAAGTTGTCCTCCGGGCCCTGCCAGGACCGGGACGTGTAGGCCGACTGACAGCTGGACCCCAGGGCCAGGGCGAGGGTCTGCAGGGACCCCCGGCGCACTGACGGCACCTCTCCAGCCGGACCCCGTGACTCAGGCTGAGAGCCCGCGGCTCTGAGACACCAGACCCTGGGGCCCGGGGTCGGTTCGGTTTCCAGGGCCCCTGAGGAGATGGTGTTAGGTGTCTTTGTCATGCAGCGCTAGAAGAACCCCTGACCCGTCATTTCTACCGTCTCCAATGACACCCAGGTGGCTCTTCCCCACCTTCACTGCCACCCCGGCCAATTCACTGTCACCTGGAGCCTGGGGGTGGCAGCAGCCACCTCACAGCTCTCCCAGACCCTGCCCAGAGGCCAAGCAGTGGCCAGGGGACGTGTCAAAGTGGAAACCTCTGGGTCTGGCTGAGGCTGGGAGGATGAAGGGCCCGCCCCACCCCAGCCCCCGGGCCTGGGCACACTGCCCGCCTGTGGGCCTCGACCCGGGCCTCCGCACGGCAATCCCGCACCCTGGGAGCTCGGCCCTGCTGCCCGCCCAGTCCGGCCAGGGCGCGCTGTGCCTCGCCACCCGGCACCAGGCAGTCCACACACATTTATCTCGGTGACGGTGGAATGGGGAAACCCACTCCTGCACTTGAGGGGGAGGTGCCAGGAATGGGGACTGCTGCTCTCGCCCGTCCCCCCAGCACTCGCGCACACGAGGGGCCCCGAGAGCCCGCCCGGAGCACCAGCGAGCGGGGCACGTCCTGCCTCCGGGGCCGGGGGCCGGCCCGGGGCTGCCCTGGGCGCAGGGCCAGCTGTCTGAGGGGAGCCCCGGGGAGCATGGTGGGGGCCTGGGCCGCGTGCACAGCTCCCCTGGGCGCCTCCCCCAGACAGGGGGTGGGGGCATGGTGGGGATGGATGCCCTGAGCCACCCAGGGGTGGGCGGGGCAGCAGTCGGAGCCACCCCTCCGGGCTCCGCTGGGGCTGCTTTCCGGCCGGGACCCAGGGTCCCCCGCAGCCCCCGCCTCGCCTCAGGGATGGAGCCGTGCCCGCCCCTCTGGCCCCCGGTCAGCGCCACACCTCGGAGGGCCGAGGGGCCTGGGTCTACTCTCCTGTCCCGGCTCCGAGGGCAGGTGGCCAGTCAGCTGTGACATGGCCGGGACTGTGGGGGGCCCGTGGCTGCCCTCTGAGCATCGAGCTCACGCATCGAGGCCTCAGAGACCACCTGCCTGCCCACCAGGAACGCCTCCTGGCTGGAGTGGGGGGCTGCGGATGGGGCTCACTTTCAAACGAACAGGCAGAAGAACGGTTATTTCTGTCAATGATCACAAGGTTCTTCCTGGCAGAACGGCTGGGGAGGAGGTCACGTGCTGTTTCTACAGGCCTAAAACAGCCCCCCTCAGACGGCTGAGGCCCCCGAGCCCCCAGGATGCCTTCCCTCGCAGGACTGCCCTGCCCGCCGCCTTCCAGCCCCGCCCGCTGCCGGGCAAGGTGGCCACGGGAGGGTGCGGCCGGCGGCACGTGAAAGGCCCGGCAGGGGGAGGCCGAGGGGCTGCGCCCCATTCCTGGAGGGACCGAGGCGTGTGGGCCTGACCCCCGTCACCCCTGCACCGTCCCCCACGCCGCCCAGCGGCCCCTTCGGTCTCCAGGGCACATCAGCCAGCTCTTGCTTCCCAGCCCCCTTGCCTCCTGTTTTCCCGAGGGGCCCTGACCGTGCTGGGCGCCCCTTGCCCAGAGCACCCCCTGCCCTGAGCAGCTCTGGGTGGGGCAGGGGAGCGGCGGGGAGAGGCAGCCTGCTCTGTCGCTTGCCGCAGGGGCCACATTCCTTCAGGTGCCGGGGACCTCGCCCAGACGCGCCCCTTCCTTGTGTTCTGACTGCAGACAGAGGTCCTTCAGTTCTCCTTTACAGCCACCCCCAGGCCACTCCTCCAGGGACACGGACACCCAGGGGCCTTGCTTTTCTAACGGGACCAGCAGGCAACCCCACTCTGGTGCGAATAGATTCACACGCGATTCCCGTGCCGCCCCGAGCCAGGCTGTCACAGCTGAGGTGGGTGGGGTGAGGGGACTGGCTGAGCCCCACCCCCGGGACCCCCAGGAATCACGAGGCCACGAAGGTACCCAGTGAAGGCATCTGTCACCCAACCGGCAGCTCAGGTGTTTGCTGTGAGAGCCGTGCTCTGCGGCCCAGGAACGTGGAGGGGTGTGGGGGAACCCGTGTTCCCTGGGGCCTGCCCCGTGGGGGGCACTGGTGCAGAGCTGCCCTCCTCCCCGCCTCTCCCCCAGACCCGCAGGCGGCCGCTGAGCTTCCTGGCCCTGCAGCCCCCACGGCCCCATGCCCACCTCTCCGGCCGGCCCTGCTCCTGCTCCCCCGCCCCAACCGGGCTCCAGGAGTGGGGGCGGCCACGTGCCTGCGGCCCTGCACCGACCTTTGCATGTCTTCCCGTCGGGCTGCAGCGTGAACCCCACCGGGCAGCTGCATCGCACGCCGGTGGCCGTGTCCTTGCACGTCCGGTCGCAGCCTCCATTGTTCACTGCACACGTCTCTGGGGAGGAAGAGAGAGAGACGCTCAGTCTCCTCGGATGAGAGCCGCCTCCTTTCCTGAGACAGGAGACTCGAGTTCAAGTTCTGGCTCTGACACCCTGTAGCTGTGGGGCTTCTCGGAGCCTCACACTCCCCATCTGTACAACGGGAGCCTGACACCGTCTCTGCGGGGTGGCTGGAGCTGAACGGGGGCTGTGCCTGCAAGTGGCAGAGGGCTGTGCTTGGGCAAAGCTGGCTGCCGGCGGGCCCCCAGCACTTCCGGCGACCGGTTCTGCCCAGGCCGGACTCCCAAACCCCGGACCTGCCCGGCTCAGGTGCCAAGCCCAGACGGGCGCTCCCGGGCGCATCCTGGCACGGACGGCCGTGCCCTGGCGGCAGAGCCCCGGGGGAGGTTTCCGGAGCCACATGCCACGCGTCACCTCGATGAGGGCTCAGCCCACATCTGTTCTCACTGAGCGACCAGCCCAGCGTGTCTGGTTTTCGTCCACTTGAAGCTTGTCTAGGGCTGTTTTTTCCCTCGTTCGCAAATTCAAAGGGGCTGGAGTGGCTAGGGCACAGCTGAGGTCGCGGAACCTGTCGGGCGGTGACAGTGATCCTCCCCAGGCCTGCAGACGGCCGGCGGAGCCGGGTCGCCGGGGCGCAGGTGGCCCGCACACCGAGGAGCTGCTCCCGGCCGGCTGAGCCTTTCGATCTGGGTTTCTTCTGAGCATCTGGCGCTTTGATCTCGTGGGAGCCACGCCTGCGTGGGCGTCCTCCTCCCCTCGGCTGCTGGGGAGTGAGGAGCCAAAGGGCTCCTCCTCGTTCCTTCACAGCCCCAGACCCTGCCTGCCTCCCCCGCTCAGGGAGCCTGGCCGCTGACACTGTCCCTGTGCCCGTCAGTGGGGTCTGAGCCCTGTGGGCCGTCCTCGGGGCTCTGGGAGGGTCTGGGATGAGCGGCGGGGTGAGGACTACATGAGTACAGCCTCCAGGGGCCGGGAGGCCCTGATGCGACTTAGACCAAAGTCACAGTGCCTTCCCTTTGAACTTCAACTTGTGAGGGTCAAGCAGAGCAGGGAGAGGAGGGAACCGGCATCCCCCTTTGTGTGCGTGAGTGCGCATCTGTGGTTTTGCAGGGTGGCCGTGGGGGGGGGCACCGAGTTCAGGGGCTACCGGGCCTTCTTCTCCGGCTACTGTTTCCGCCCCGACAGGGGCAGTGGTGACCACCTACAGAGGGGAGGGCCTCCGGCGGGCTCCTCCCGGCCTGCCTTCCCCTGGGTCTCCACAAGCCCCAGACCAGCCGCTGTGGGCGGGCAGCTTTGGAAGCCTCCCCGCCTTTGGGTGTGCAGCCCCTTGGCAGAGAGGGCCCCTGCCCACTGGTGTCTCCGTGCCCCGCAGAGACCAGCTCCCCAGATGCAGGGACAAGCCGCTGCCTTGCCGGCACCCGTGCAGGCTGGGTTCCGGGTCACTGCAGGCCGAGTTCTGACCCGCACGCGGCCCGCTCAAGCCCTCTCGCCTCCTTGCTGGGCCACCCCCGGGGCAGGGGCACTGCCCCGGCTCTGTCACTTACTGAGTGGCCCAGGTGGGGCACCTTTTGGGGCCGGACCTCAGCACCCCCATCTGGCTGACGAGGCCAATAAGCTTTCCCTACAGGGCTGAGGTGAGGACCAAACAGACTCCCCAAACAGACTCCCCACGTGGCGGCGCATGGCCCAGGTCCTGGCCTGTAGTAGTTGTTCAACAAATGCTAGTTTCCCCCCTGGGGTTACGACCGGAGGGAAGTCCCACCCCCCAAGTCAGGAGCCCACAGACACCCGCAAGGGCCTGTGCAGCCTTTCACAGGGGAGAGCCCCTCTCTCGAGGGGGATGGAGGATGAGCCTGTTTTCCACGTGCAGGTAATTAAGGCTCAGGCCTCGGAGAGCGAGCACTGGTGGGGGTGGGGGCCGGGCAGAAGGAGCTCAGAGCTGGGGGTTGGGGCACGGCTGGGGTGCAGCCGGGTGGCCCCACTCAGTGCCAGCAGGACGAGCCCCAGACCCCTGGGGGGTGGAGGTGGGGCGTGGCACTGGCATGGAGGCTCAGACCATGAGAGGTGAGTCTGACCAGGTGGGCTCCGAGGTGCTTGCAGGCCAGGCCCTCCCTGTCTCCAGAGGTCCTTGGGGGGACTCGAAACCTCGGCCCCCCAGAGCCTGCTGCCCGAGGGGTGGATGCAGGCCCACAGCGGGCTGAGGCAGAGCCTGAGTGGCCACCCACTGTGGGGACCCCCAGTGCGGGCCCCTCCCCTGCTCTGGGCGCTCCTTCGGCCTCCCGGCTGCCCTGGACAACGGTGGGCACCCAGCTCAGCCTTCCAGGCCTCTGTCCCCCTGGCTCAGAGTGGCTGGTGAGGAACGGGTGCAGAGGGCTCGGAGTCTGCCCAGGCCACGCGGCTGGCCAGCAGCACAGGCAGTGGGAGGACCTGCTGGACTGACTCCCGCCCACCTGACAGCCTCCAGCCACCACCTCCAGCGGGGCCCCACCCCAGAGCCCGGCACGGCCACACGTGCACTGGCCCGCATCCCTCCCTGCAGTGTCACCGTCTACCCCCAGGCCATGTCCCAGGAGGCCCCTCTCCTGCCCCCCCCGCCCCCCCGGTCTCTTACTGCTGCCTCCGGGCCAGGCCCCCAGAGTCTCCTGGGTGGCCTCCAGGGGGTGGGGCGTGGCTCGGGGGAGGCAGGGAGTGGAGGTGTGGAGTCAGCAGCCAGCAATCAGCCGTCCTCACCGCCGAGGCCACAGCGCATCGGCGGCTGTGGCTGCCACGCCCGCCTCCAATTTACCTGGGGCTGGCGCACGTGAGACACAGACAGGAAGGTGACCTCGAAGTCTGCCTGGTCCCTCGGGCTGCGGTGGGGGTTTGGGACAGAGGTGAGCAGTGACAGCACAGGCTGACCTGCAGGGGCCGTGGCAGCTTCCAAGTAGAGGCCACCGGAGCTGCTGCGGAGGCCGCTGGCCTCGTGTGGTGACTGGCCTGGGACGCCACCCTGGCCCCCTGCTCTGAGTGCCGTGAGGAGCAGCCTCGCCTCTCTGTTCCCCGAAACCCAACATGACCCGGGCCTGGTTTCAGGCCCCCGTTTCTCGGGAGTCAGAATCCAGGCACCCATCCTCTCCCCGGATGACAGGGCCACCCCAAGTGCAGCAGCAGACGTCAGCTGAGACTGAAGCAGGCGCGCCCCTGTCCCTGGGGGGCAAGGGGAGTGCGCAGGTCCCGGGAGTCGCTGAGGCCGTGGGTGACGCGGCTCTGCAGGCCCGCTGTGAGGCTGGCACACCCTGCCCGGGGTGCACTCTGGGAAGGGCGGCCGGAGTCCAGCCACCAGCCCTTTGGGGCAGCGAAGGGGGCGAAGGCAAGACCACCGCCCAGAGAGCCGCCCCAGGGGTCTGCAGACCTGCTCCCAGCCCTGCGAGCCCTCTAGCCCCTGCCGGAAGCCGCCTGCCCCTGAGAGCTACCGGCTCTTTCTCAAGGCGCCCTCTCCCCTGGAGGAACGAGGGGGCGGGCCTCCCCGGGCACAGCCCTTCGCAGCTGGCGAGGCGCGCTCCCACCCGCTGACCTTCAGGGGCCTCAAGCAGCCCCAGGGGAGGCTCTTCTGCAGGCAGAGGAGCTGAGGCTCAGAGAGGGTAAGGCACTCGTCCTGGCATAGTTTGTCCCGGTCAGCTCCGTGATTTGTGGGACCCGGGTGGAATAAAAACGAAGGGCCCTTATCCAGAAATGAAGAATTCCGAGGCAGACAGAAGAGCACCAGCCAGCTGCGGCCCGTCCAGGGGTGGGGCCTGGGCGAGTGTGTGGGCCTCGCACCCTCAAAGCAGGCCCTGAGTCCCCGGTCACACGGCTGTTGGCAGGGGCTGGCATTTGGACCCACGACTTCGAGGCTCCAGGCTACTGAGTGAACAGACCAGGCCAGGGCGCTGGGCCCTCGGCCCGGACCCGGAGGGGTGGCTCAGAGAGGCAGGAACGGGAGCAGGTGGCCCGAGGAGGTCAGGATGTGTGCCATGGTGCCGGCCTCCTCGCCCGGTGAGCGGGGAGAGCTCTTACCCCCCGGCCTGGGCTGGCAAAGCGGGGAGGGCAGGTGCTGGCATCCTGACCACACCGCCTCTCCCCCTCGGCGGGGCAGACGTCTACCGCCCGCCATCCAGGGGTGGCTCTCCCCGCGCCTCGTGGGGGCGCAGCACTAGGGCGGGGGCGCAGCACTAGGGCGGGGGCAGGGTGAACCCGCCCCGGGAGCCTCCAAGTGGGGCTGGGCCCTGGAGACATGCTGGTGGCTGTTGTGATGTGTTGTGTTCTGAACCTGCCCTGGCAGTGCTGTCCCAGCAGGCCCTTGTCACGGGCCCCGAGGCTGTAGGACCAGGGTTGGCTCTTCTGCTTTACAGTCCCGAGAGGAGAGGGGACTCGTAGAGGCCATCCAAGGTCATGTGGTGGGGCAGGTCAGGTGTCCCAATGCCTAGTTCACTGACCCCCCCACCCAGCCCCCTGCCCCAAGCGTGGGGTCCCCGGGAAGTCACAGACACCTGCTTCTGAAGAGCCACGTGACTCGGGCTGAACCCCTCACCTCCCTGGGCTGCGCCACCTCTGCCAGGGGACGGAGATGGCACTGTCTCCCTCAAGACTCTTGGGTGTCACCCCCGAGTGCCCATCTGGCTACATCCCTTCCCTATAGCCCCATTCCATGCCCCTGTCCCCTGCACCGCAAGACCCTGCCTCCGGCCGCCAGCGGCACCCTGTCACCTCTCGCCCAAGCCCGGGGGTCTCGGCTGCGCCTCCCGCACCCAGCTCACTGCAAGGCCTCTAGACCCAACAACTGGGCTCGGCGTGTGTTTCCGGTGGGTTCTCTCTGGCCCCCCACTCACAGAGCAGCAGGGACCTCAGCCCCTACTGTGCTCCCACCTCTCAGAATGGCCCCAGAGCCTTGGGCAGAGCACCTCCACACTGGCCTGTCTGCAAGGGGGGTGGGGAGGGGGCATATCCCCAGCTCCCGCACCCTGCCTTCACCCCAACCCCC